TTTTTTTTTTTTTTTTTTTTTTTTTTTTTTTTTTTTTTTTTTTTTTGGTGGGTGAAGAATAAATAAAGGGATTGAGTTGGGATTTTTTTTGGGTGGGATTGAAATCACAAGCATTTCTGACATCTCAGCCCAACTCACCCTCATTTCTACCTTCCTCAGGCTCCAGCCCCCAGCCCCACCGGTGCCCCATTGCCGGGGAGGGTGCCGGGGGGCGGAGGAGGGGGGGGACGACATTGGGAGCTCAGTTCAGCAAAACCTGGCTGGATTTGGTCCTTTTTTTTCCATGGAATTACAACCCCACCCCCCGCACTGCACCGCTCACCCTCCGCGGAGCCGGCTCAGCCACAAAAGTGCCCTGAAAACACCCAAAGACACAAACCCCCCTTAAAATCTCCCCCTACGACCACCCCTCGCAATCTGCCGCCCCCAAAAAATCTCCCAGCCACCCCGCAAAATCTCCCCGAGACATTGCATTCCCCCACATCGCCTTCCTCTTTTAATTGCACATGGTAGAGCTGGAGCATCTAGAGATATATCTATATATACACGTGTTTTTAAACACATCCTAGGCTTTATTGCACCCTATCGCGACAGGCGATACCCTCCGCGGCGGCTCTTTTGTGTGGGAGGAGGGGGCAAAAGGGGACCCTCGCCCAGAAGGAGGAGATGGGGGGGTTCTTTCTTTGAAAAAAAAAAAGAAAAAAAAGAAAGAAAAGAAAAACAAGAAAAAAAAACAGCGGAAGGAAATAAAGCTGTGACATTTCCCGAGTCGGGAATGTTTTTATTTAAATTTTTTTAAAAAGATGGGGGGAAAAATAAGGAGAAGGAGGGGGGTGAAGGCAAGAGGGTCTGTTGGGGGCTTCTGCAGAATTAAAGCTGAAGGAAAAGGCTCCTTTCAGCCCAGGGAGGGATTTTTTTGTGTGTTTTTTTTTTAAGGAGTCGGCTCCATCCTTTGCAGCTCGTAAATAAAAGCATTCCTCGGCGCTGCTGGTCATGACCGTGAACGCGGGGAAGCGGGAGCACGTGGTGAACATCCCAGACTTCCCAGAAAACGCTGCTTTGCCATAAAATTAATCTCCCCCCCCCCCGCCACCTCCGATATAAAACGCATGGAGCAAAGCGCGGCGCGGCAAAGCACCGCCGCCCCCCCTTCTCCCCCCTTCAGCCCGAATTAATAATTCCTATATTTTTCCCCTTTTCATCCTGAATTACAAATTCCCATGCAGGCGAAGCTCCCCAGGGCCCTAAACCTGCTGCTCCCCCCATCCTAACCTTCCCCCCCCCCGACCTAAATGTGCCTTAAAACACAGACCTGACAGGGAATGGGGAAAATTGGTGGTTTTCTCCAGAAAATCCGAGCACACGTGCAAAAAAAAACCCATCCCAAACCCAAAAGCGCCCTCGTCGCATCCTACCAGGCCCCTCTCTGCTGCCCTGAAATGGAAAAAGCCAGACAGGATTTTAGGGAGCCAACCCCCCCAGCACCCCAAAGCCCCCAGTCCTAGCAGGACTTTTTAGGGAGATAAAGAAAACATCACCCTTGAGGGAAACCTGCAGGGTTTTTTTTAACTTGATGGGCAGCCGGGGAAGGGAGGGGTGGCTGAATGTGATATATTTCCTTAAACAGCCCCCCCCAGACCCCCAATCTCCTTTTTTATAATTGAGAAAATAGCACCCAGGCGACAAAGCGCATCATCCGAGTTACCCCAGGGAAGGAGAGATGCGACTCCCTCAGGCTCCAACAGGCTGTTATCACCGCAGGGTGCGGAAAAGAAGGGATTTTTCTACCTATTTTTCCTACGTCGTCATCCACAAACAACGTACACAATCCATCAGTAGAGCTGTCTCAAAGAAATATCGTTTTTTTTAAAGAGGAAGGATAGAATTTCGGGGTTGTGCAGAGAAACGCTGTGAATTCCGAGAGGGAGGGGAAAAAAAAAATTAAAATCTCCCAAAAGCTCATTTTACGTGGAAGGTAATTCAGATTTTTTTGATTTTTTTTTTTCCTTTTCCTGGGAGGGTTTTCTAGGGGGAGGTGTGTGCGTTTTCCTTCTCCTGACATTCTGGATTTGAGGACAACACCAGCCCCTGCACCAAAGCCTCGGATCTATAGGGACATAGTGATACACCCCCCTCATTTATTATATAGCTGTATGCCATATACACCCGATATATGCACAGTCTTTTGTCTCGCGCCTCTTCCTAGAGATCCTCATTAAGCCTAGGGATCCTGATTAAGCCTAGATACACTAATCACCCGCAAACCCTCAATTTAGACTGAGAAAGACACATCTTGGGGCACACCGCGCCCTGAAAAGAAGCATCTTCCATAAGGATGCGGGGCCGGTCCTTTGAGACCCCATTCCGCACCCCCTTCCCTTATGATTTTTGGCTTTTTTTTTGCCCCTATTCCTTTATATTTTACTATTTCCCCCTCCCTCTTTCCCACTAACCACCAAACCAGCCCTAACCCCAGGGTGGCAGCCCAGGAGAAGATCCAGGACCCACCCTCAGCATCCTCACCCCCGCTCTCGCCGCCAACCGAAGCCGGGCGGGGGCGGGGGGGTTGAGGGGGGGGGAGATGGACCGGCGGCCCCCGACGGCCCCGACGATGCCCGGCGCTGCACGGAAACCCTACCTGTGCTGCTGGCAAAGGCAAAGCGGCTAAAGTCGCACTCAAAACCTCCCCTTCAGCCCGCCGAGCATCTCTGGAAGCCGTCCGTCCCCCCGCGGTCCCGGCGGAGAAGATGCATTATTATTAGCCCTAACCCCAGGGTGGCAGCCCAGGAGAAGATCCAGGACCCACCCTCAGCATCCTCAACCCCGCTCTCGCCGCCAACCGAAGCCGGGCGGGGGCGGGGGGGTTGAGGGGGGGGGAGATGGACCGGCGGCCCCCGACGGCCCCGACGATGCCCGGCGCTGCACGGAAACCCTACCTGTGCTGCTGGCAAAGGCAAAGCGGCTAAAGTCGCACTCAAAACCTCCCCTTCAGCCCGCCGAGCATCTCTGGAAGCCGTCCGTCCCCCCGCGGTCCCGGCGGAGAAGATGCATTATTATTTTATTTATATATATCTTTTTTTTTTTTCCCTCTCTGTCGGGTTTCATATTTTAAGGGAAACTGGTTATTTATTAATATTCTTTCTTTATTCATTGCTTTCTGGGAAGGGAGGGGTTGGGGGGGATTAAGAGTGGTCAGGTGAAGTCCCGGGAGCTCGGGTGAACGCTAGAGAGTCTATGTGGGATTTTTTTTGTTGGTTGTATCATCATCATCATTATTATTATTAATTTTTAATACCCGACACGGCCGCCTCTAAAACTTTAAAAGAAAGAAAGGGCTTGCTCTCTCAGGAGGAGTCTTTTCTTTTTCATACGCCGGTTCTGGAACCAGATCTTCACCTGCTGGTCGCTCAGGTTTAATCGGTCTGAGAGCTCCCTCCTTCTTTGGCGAGTAATGAATTCATTGACCATAAACTCCCCTTCCAGCTCCGCCAGCTGCAGCTTGGAATAGGGTTTTCGTTTTTTCCGGGACCGTGTGTGCATCGGGTACCAAGGAGCACCTGGCAAAGGGGGAGCGAGAGTTGAGCACTTGGCAAGGGAAAAAAAAAAAAAAAAAAAAAAAAAAGGAAAAAGGGGGGGGGGGGGGCACCCCCAGCACCCCTTTCTGCACCTCCCCGTTGTCCCCAGGGTCCCCCCCCCTGCTGTGGGGGCTTAGGGATGCTCCCAACTGCTTCCCGGGGTGATGCGCAGGGCGGGCACAGGAGGAAGAGGAAGGGCAAGGTGGGGGAGCGTTATAACCGGGACACGGAGCAAAAGACGCGCGAGGAGCGGGAGATAAGCCTGGGGGACCCCCCCGGGAGGGGCTCCGGCCCCGCTAACGGGGAGAAACCTGCACCCCAATGCCATCTTTGAAGGCTGTGGGTTGTTTTTTTTAAGCATCCCCCCCCTCCCTCCCTTCTTCCCCCTTCCCTCGGGCAGACACACCTCTGAGATGTCCCCAAAAAGCCTCCCGGTCTTTCCGCCGGCCTTCCGCGCCGCGCAGGGATGCGCAGCCACCACCACCCGACTCTCTCCCTCTCTTTCTCTCTCTCTCTCTTTTTTTTTTTTTTTTTTTTTTTTTTTTTTTTTTTTTTTTTTTTTTTTTTTTTTTTTTTTTTTTTTATGGGATATTTACATGTTTATAGCCTTTTCTTTTAAAAGAAGCACCACCTAATAAAACATTAGGGATTTCGGTGCTACCCCTAGTGGTCTCAGCACACATAGACGCGCTCTGAGCCCACGAATTACACCGCGGAGGAGCCCCCCCAAGCCGGCAAGTTTCCAAGCAAACCCCCTCCCCTCCTCAAAATCGGCCAGATTCACCCCAAGACCCCCTCACCTCCCCCCTCATCCCTTAGCGCGGGTCTTACCACCGGTGCCTAAAGTGCTGCCTTGATTCAGGGGGGACACCAAACCCCCCGCTTCTCCGCTGGTGCCTTTATTCCCTTCATTGAGCAAAGAGGAGCTGGAGTCTGACTCCAAGGACTGGCAGGACGGAGGGTCGTGGGGCACCGCCTCGCCGCCGGGATAGTCATATTTGCTGAAAGTGGCCCCCATGCCATTGGGGAGGCTGGATTCGAGGGGCAGCAAAGCACTGTCCCTGCCCCTCTCCTCCCTCTTGAGCCCGCCGCTTTCCGAGCAAGTTTCCCGGTAATAACATTTGCTTTCCTCCACCCGGGCGAGGTCGCAGGCTCGACCGAAGGAAGGGTTAATGGAGACGGGGCTGCCCAGGTAGGGCTGGGGGTACCCGTTGCAGGGTTCCGAGGATGCCCAGGGCAAAGAGCAGACGTTCTCCCGGCGGGGGTAGGAGAGGGAAGGCAAACCGGGCAGTTGGCCTCCGGAGGCCCGGAAATTTGGGAAGTAGAAGGTGTCTCCCGTGTGGATGTTCACCAGAGGTCCCACAAAGCCGGGATTAAGGAGGTTGTGCTCGCCCATTTCCGCGGGCCTGACCGAAAGCTTCTACTTTATTGCTATCAAATCCCATAAAGCATTTTATTAAAAAAGAAAAAAAAAGGCAATGGCTCCCAGCGCTGGCTTGAGAATCGCGAAGCGCCCTAAAATGTCATATTTAGCATAAGATAATCGATAGGCGAAGATTTTGCCCCAAAACCGCTGCGCCCCCCTCCCCCGGCAGCACTCCGGGCCCCCTCCACCCTCCGCCAAAGCGAGGCCGGCTCTCATTAATTAGCTCCTTTATTAACTAAAACAGTTCGAATTTACAGTATCTCCCCAATAAATTACTATTAGATATTGTGTCATATAAAGTTTACGGGCTTTTTAAGGAGACGAATGATGGTGCCCGCAACAGGCTCATATTTACGCGGGGTGGGATGGGAGAGTTGGGGCTATTTGAGAGCTTTTCTACTCTTAAAAAAAAAAATTAGCATTTATTATTATTATCATTATTATTATCATTTCCCCCCCTCCGACCAGGTGGCTCCGTCCTGGGCTGGGGAAATGCAGCCTCTTCCCGGGCTCTTGCCCCTCTCTCAAGAAGGGCTGGAAGATTTTATTTTTGACAATCCTCAATTGCTTTTTATTAATGATCTGTGTCGAATAAAGCAGCCGGAAGAACACGACTTTATATATATAGAGAGAGAGAGCGCCTTAATTTACCCGGTATCTATTCCATATGCACCAAGGCGCAGGCACGTATAGAATGAATGGTCAAATCTCATTTATTTTCCTTGGTTTCTGGGAAAGAATTTTTAAAAATCTAGTCCTCACCCCACCATTTCTTTGGTCCCCAAACCTGGAAATAGAGGTGTACACACACACACACACACACGCGCGCGCGGAGCTGGTTCCCCGCCACCTTATAGCAATATATTCTGCCCTCGTAACACCACAGAGCTCTTCTTCCCTCCCTCCCACCCCCTTCTCCTGCCTTTTAATTTTTTTTATTTTCTTTTTTTTTTTTTAAGAACCCAAAATGCCCACCCCGTTTGCTGGATTTTTGCGTGGCTTTGCATTCCTCCCTGCCTTAAGCAACTCCCCAGCGCTCCCCTTGCCAGGTTGACTCTGCAAAGTACCGTAAATATTCCTGTAGAGGTAAAACCGCTGCGCGGGGGCGGAGGCGCTCCGCGGAGGCTGAGCCGGGTGGGTGCAGCCGCACCTCCTTCCCAGCCAGAAACCAACCTCCCTCAGCAATATTGCAGATATTTCTCAAGCATAACATCATTTTTTAATTTTTTTTCCCCCCTCATCTGGCAAAACCTCTGGGGTTTGGAAGCCCCCAGCCCAGCCCTGCAAGAAAAATCAGGTGCCAATAAAAAAACGCATTTAAGGGCTTTTCCCCTCTTCCATGGACAGCTCCTGGAGGTGGAAAAAACCTATTTTCCATAATTCCCATCCCTCTTTCTCCCTGGCACGACTATGGAGACGCTGCACACATACCTTGCAGAGAGATACGTGCGTACCATCCTACACGCCAAGGAAGAAATACGACTACTAGAAATATTTTTGCTAGAATGAAAGTTTAGCTCTCCCCCCCTTTTTTTTTTTTTTTTTTTTTTCCTTTTTTTTTTTTTTTTTTTTTTTAAACCTTGCCAAGGAATTTTTCTCCCTGCAGGTATAAGTGCAAAAGCTGCTTGCAATTTCTCCCCGAGTGGTGTCTTCCCCCTGCAGAAGAAGCGCTCGCAACGCTGGGCAAGCGTGGGGAGGAATAGTTTATATAAAAATGAGCACGTGATCCCCGGAGGTTGCCGTCTGAATTGGCTTTGTTTGCTGGATTTTTTTTTAAAAGAAGAAAAAAAACACAACCCCAAACCAAACCCTTCCTCTACCTTGCTCTTTTCTTTGGAAAATTCCCCCTATAAGACGTGCCCGGCTGCTGCACGGCTTTGTTCTCCACCGGACCTTGGCAAAGTACATCTATTTTTTTTTTCTCCGGGTATTTGGGGCTTTTTTCTTCTTTATTCAATTTTATTTTTGCCGGGCGTATAAAAAAAAATAAAATAAAATATACAAAATCTCACTTTTTTCCCCTCCAGGAAACATTCGGGGAGGCAGCTGCAGGGCTGAGCTGAGGAGCAAGTGAACCACAAACTCCTGCGTGGAGGGATAATGTGGGCACCACGGCAAGGGAGAGGGAGGAAATCACCCCCGGTTCCTTTATTTATTCTTCCTTTCCTTCTTTTTTTTTTTTTTTTTTTAAAGAGCTGGGAGATGCTACAGCCGTGCTCAGAAATACATTAAGCGGAGCACAGCGCGGGGAGTCGCTCCCTGCTCTTGGTGGCCTTGGTTGAGGAGGGCTCCCCAGCCCAGCGCCGCTCCTGCTGCAAAACAGCCAAGGAAAAGGGAAAAAAGAATTAAAAATAAAAATAATAAAAAAAATCCCAAGGACTCTTAAGCAAAACTGCCGCCTTTCCTTGGGAATGTCTTTCTTTCCCCATTAAAAATGCGTTTTCCCAGTTCAGGTTGAGCGCTCGCTTGGGCTTTTCTGAGCGGTGCTTAAAAACGAAAGCCTGAGCCGAGCCCTCCTGCTTTGGGGCACAGCTCAGGCAGCCTCCTCCGTGCTCAACAACCCACCCCCAGCGCCAAAAATATATCCCCATTTCTACCTCATATTGCTTTCAACAACCCATCCTTTTTTTTTTTTTTTTTTTTTCCCCTTCTCCAAAAAAGTTGCTCAGCCCAGGGAAAAAAAAAAAAAAAAAATCTCTGAGTCTTTCCTCATTTGCAGGAATCCCAATTTTCAAGTAGAGAGACCTTTCTATTTAATAATCCTCGAGCAGGGTTTATATTTTTCCCCCCACCACCTCTACAAGTTACAGGAGCAGATTTGGGGGAATGCTGGTGGGAAGAAGCCGGGAAAACTCCCTGCCCATGGGAACTTTTTTTTTTTTTTTTTTTTTTTTTTTTTTTTTTTTTTTTTTTTTAAAAAAAAAAAAAAAAAAAAAAAAAAAAAAAAAAGAGGGAGAGAGAAAAAGACGCTGGAAAAGCAAGATTACAACGTCTCAGTTCAAGGTCACTGTCTAGTGTAGTGAATAGGATCGACATCTTATGCTAATGACTGTCTCGGATGAGCATCTCTCACCGCACGGGGAAAACAACCCCAATTTGGGGCTGAATTTCTGTGCTTTGACCCCCCCCCTTTCTTTTTTCTCCTTGTTTTTTGGGGGGGATTTCTCCCCGCGCTCCTCCCTTCCTCCTCTTCCCTTTATTTATTTTTTTTTTCCCCACCGCATCCCCTCTCCCCCAAGCCTGAGAAATAGAATTTCCCCGTCCCCTCCTCCCGCATTTCTTCTCCCCCCCGCGCAGCCCCCGGGGCTGAGCTCGGCTGGCGGCTCCCCCTCGAACAAGCCTCTTTCTCCCCTACCCCCCTCCAGCCTCCTCTCTTCAAGATATATTAAAAATATATATTAATAAACCCAATAAAAATGACCCTAACCTAACGGCCCCAACAAAACATTTACATTTCGGATGGGAAGGGGTGAGCCCCACTTTCAGTTTTCTCCAGAAATTTAACCCTCTTTGGGAATAAATAAAAAAATAAAACAACATGTATTTTTACAATATGTATCTCGCATCTTTCTGCCCGAAAAAAGGGGGGAAGGGGGGGAGGGAAAGGCAAAATTAAAAGGTCTCGAGCTCGGCTGGCGGCTCCCCCTCGAACAAGCCTCTTTCTCCCCTACCCCCCTCCAGCCTCCTCTCTTCAAGATATATTAATAAAAATATATAAATAAACCCAATAAAAATGACCCCAACCCAACAGCCCGAGCAAAACATTTACATTTCAGATGGGAAGGAGTGAGCCCCACTTCCAGTTTTCTCCAGAAATTTAACCCTCTTTGGGAATAAATAAAAAAATAAAACAACATGTATTTTTACAATATGTATCTCGCATCTTTCTGCCCGAAAAAAGGGGGGAAGGGGGGGAGGGAAAGGCAAAATTAAAAGGTCTCCTTGTGCGTGTGGAGGTTGGAAAAACACATCCCGTCATGGCTCAGCTTTTCTGCTCAGCTGAATTTCCCCCCAAATTGGGTGGGAGTTGCAAGGAGCTGCGGTGACTCGAACAAGAAGTTAGCTGCCAGGGTGGAAAAGGAAGTATTTAGAATAAATATATAGATACATGACACGGGGAATAAAATAGAGACAGGCTTTGGAAAGCCCACAGAACTGTTATTTGGGGGTAGCTATATATCACCGAAACCTGCCCCCGCTCCCTTTTCTGGTGCGGAAAACGCACGTCTATAGACACCTTATAGATATATAAGTGTACAAGACAACTTATATATATCTATATAAGAGGGTAGTAAAATGGAATACGTAGGAGCTGGGCAAAAAAAGAGAAAAAAATTAACATGGAAAAATAGTAAATGGATGGGAATAAAAATGTCTACGACACTTCAGCTCATCCCATATACAAATCATCTGGGGCAGCTTTCAGTTTTAAGCACGGCAGGTCCCAGGCTCGGAGCAGGGAATAGTTAAATCCCTGGAATATCATTATATATATATATTTTATTTTTTTTCCCCCCAGCTCTGCCAGCAGAGGATCTTCTCCTCCCATTAGATGAACGCAAACTGGTGCCCGCACCCCTCGCAAGGCAGAGGTTTAGTCCCCAACTTTGGGGAAGTTTGGCTTTGGCCGCCAGCTCTGCTTTTTTTGAGTAAGAAGTTGGCGTTTTCTACTGTAATTCCCTTGGAGGGCTGAAACCGCCCCCCCCCCAAACAACTGTAACAACAAACCAGTTAATGGTCTAGAATTCACGACTCTTGAGCAAATCGCATTTGGAGAGCCCGAAAAGCCTGATCTCACTTATTTAATGTTCCTTGTAAAGGAAGAGCAAGTGGCGGGGAGGAAAAGGAGTTTATTAAACCCACGGCGGGTCCAACTGTGGGCTGACCCAGCTCCCTGCCAGGCACCAGCTTCCCCCCCCCCGCGAAGTGGAGGCGACAGGAGACGCGACATTTTGCTGGATCTAACCCTTAAATACCCAG